TAATAATAATAATAATAATAATAATAATAATAATAATAATAATAATATATAATATACTTTTTGATCCTTTTAAGCACATATTCTTTTCACTGTTTCTATTTGTACATTATGTCCAAAGTTTTTAGCCCATTTTATCACTACTTCTTTCATTTCAAATTTCAATATAAATGTAAACATTTTAACAATTATATGTTTATCATTTGTACATAATTCAACTTCAAATTCTATCTTTTCAAATTCCAAATATCCTGTTATCTACTCAGATCGTTCTCTCAACTGCCACTGAAAATTAAAACCATTGAAAAATAAATTTACCTGCAGCCAATTTTTCTTCTGATTTCATCTAATATTCTCCATATCCCTGCTCTAACAACTCTTTAGTTTGCCATTTTTTACTTACTTTTTCTCTCCTGAAAACTGCTTGTTGTGTTGAAAGTCTATCTTAACTATGGGTAATGTAGTTATCATAAGCTTAGTTATTTATAGCTTTAGCTGAAATCCTGTTTCTATTCAGAGATGAGCAAAGATGTTAATGATAGTGCTGATATTCTTTCTTGAGCTAAAATATATGGTCTTCTTTGTTAAGCCTTCCTTGAGGCTTTGTTGAGATATCTGTGCCAAGAAGACATGCCCCTCTTTTTCTGTGGAGTACTTCAGCCTCTAGGATCAGCTATCACCTTTTCTTCCCCTAAATTCTTTCCTCAAGTCTAGCCAGCCCCCTCCTTTTTGGGGGGGCAGACTATCATTCCTCTTTCCTGTGAGAAAGTTTCTGCCTCTGAGAAATATTGGTAATCTGTTCTTCTCCTAGACTTTACAAAAATATTATATTACTACTTTTAGGTACGTGTGGTGTCTAATCTTATTTTGTACTTGCAAGAAGATAGCCTGAGAAAGAGTAGTTTGTTCACATTCCCTGCTTGTTTGTTGAGTGGAATTGCATCTCATGTTTGTACAACACCTTATTCTTTTCATTATGCAAGTTTTTGTTTCCTCTTTTTATTACAATTAATAAAATCTGAAGTTTGTCTCCTTAGTGCAATGCTTCTCAAAGTTTCTAGTGATACAACACTTTCTACAGTGAAGAAATGTGGAACCCATTCAATTAAAGAGACACTTCTCTCAACCTTTTTGTATTTAGTACATGGAGCTCATTTAGGTAGTTTGTTCTAGAATGAAAATAATTTAAAAATAATCTAAAATTAACCACTCAAATTATGTACTTAATACTATATAACAACAGCGATTAGCATTAAGCTGTTGAAAAATTTTCTTCAATAGAAAATTCTGAGTATGTAAGAATTAGGGGCAATAAGATTAGACACCACACGTACCTAAAAGTAGTAATATAATATTTTCCAGTCCAGTGAAATCCCATTGCCCTATTTCTGATTTTTTTGGGTTCCTTAGGCAAGAACAAAAGTTAACTTAGCACAAAACATTGATTCAAAATCAGTAAGCTAGAATTGTACATGCTCAACAATGGAAGTGATGAGATCCCGACAGATGAGGGTAATGAAGAAAATAATAGAATGTGCAGGAATAGATAAACACTTCCTATCAAAGATAAAGAAGAAACTAAATACTTTTTGACATGGGATTTATTTTATCAATGGCTAGACAATAAAAACAGAAGTTAGAAAGAAAGGGACATAAAAAGGATAGATGTTAAAATGGACAAACAAAATATTATTGTCACTACAGTATTGTTATTGTGATAAATGTTATTGTAAACACTCTGATTATGATTGCCTAAAAATAATTGTACCCAAACAACACACTGTTCAATTGAAATGGACTTTTTCTATATTATAGTAATAAAACAAATAAAACTTTAAAAAAATCAGTAACTACTCTTGAAACTAATTCACTATTATAATTTTAAAGAGCTCTGATGGCACAGTCCTTAAATAGAGTATTTTAGGCAAACCCTTTCCATAGCCAGGAGTTTGATCTGATGGGGCTCAAGATTTATTCAGCCTTCCATCCTTCTGAGGTTGGTAAAATGAGCACCCAGATTTTTGGAGGCAATATAATGATGTTGTAAACCACTTGTGGTAAAGCACTATGGAGCAGTATATAAATCTAAGTGATATTGCTATTGTTATCAGTTCTCTGTTTTTGTAAAAGTCATACTGGATTAAAATTTGTGTGTTTTAATGAACCACTGAGCCACTTCCACAATGAATCAGTAACAAGAAGGCTTGGAAGTTAACATGGCAAGGCAAAATCTTAGGTAGAAGTGGGCTCTGAGCTGCTGTTTGGCAGTGAAGACAGTGATGCAAGGATTGAGTTGATGAATGGCTGGTTTGGGCAGCTGACTAGCTGTGAAAGTATAAATGTGGAGTTTTGAGGCACTGAGAGATACCTCTGTAGACTACTAATTTCACAATCACTACTTTAGTGAATTCACATAATTTCTTGTTCCTTGGCTTAGAAATCAAATCTTGTTGCTTTGTATGTGCTTGTTTCAAAGATCTCCCTCTCTCCCTCCCTCCCTCTCTCACACATACACAGTGAGCACAATTAAGATCAAAATTGAAGAAAACTTTATAGCTTTCCTTCCTTTCTCTCCCACATATTGCTTATTTCCTTGAGGCCCAGGTGATGGTGTAATGAAGAAGAGAAAGTTATCTCTCTGTTATCTCTCTCCTCTTTTTTCCCAACTTAAAGCCTTTATATAGCTTTAGAAGAACCTTCATTGGTAGAACAATAACCAGAGGCATTTATGGGCAGCAAATAATGAAGGCATGTCCTGATAAAAATACGGTGACTTAAAATATTTACATCAACCATTAAGGATGCAAATTAAAGATGGAATTTACATGAGGATGTCACTAGGTAATATAAGTAATACTTTTGCACAATTAATTTTGTGCAGATGCCTATAGCAGCAGTCTTAAGGAAGGCACAAGATGGACAGGTGCACCAGAAAAATGGAAAACCTAGAAGGTGGTGCAGGGATCTGATTAGACTAGAATCTCCAAATTTTAAATTAAAATGTTGGTTTATGTTTATGTGCCTTTGAAGACAACTCGGACACTGTACTGAATCCTGTAGAATGTAGCAAAGTAGATCGATTAGACTAAAGAAATGCAACACACACAAACACACCCCGCTCCATGTACATAGGCACAGGTATACTTTTAATATTTTACATGAATGTATTACCCATACATTTTAATGAATTCATGTATTAAGAGAGAAGGAAATGAAATGGTATCTTTTGAAAATGTCTGAGAAATAACAAAACTAGTGGATAAATATTCTGCTTTTGCATCCTGCCCATTGGCAAAATTTGGATGAACAAATACATTTGCTGAAAAACAGTTATGTGACAGAACCAGCTCTCTTTACCTTTTGTAAAGATTTTTGCCTTCCTAGTAAGATTGCTAAACATATGTTTAAATTACATTATTTGAAAGGAAGGCAACTCTCCACGTAACATCACCTTCTTGAAATGGAATATGAAACAGAAAAAAGTGAATCTAAGGTGGCTTTTAAGCCAAATTATTTGGAGAAAGCTACTGTCTTTTCAAACATATTAGTCAATGAATAAAATTTTCATGTTAGAAAAGCTGTTTTAATGCAATGCTTTGTCTATTTTCTTTCCCTCCTTTAGACTTTGGACTTATTTTGTGAAGCTTGCAATGAAGTGTCTTTTAATGTACCTCACAAAATGAAGATGGGGATGTTTATTGGCAGAGGTGAGATAACCTCTCTCTCATGCTTTGTTTGTAGACGCTGGAATTCGAATCTGGGTTTTGTAAAAGTCTTACAGCAACAGCAATTTGCTAGAGGCTAACAATATCATCACTGTAAGTGATAGCTAGAAAAGTTCTGACTCCTATGATTTAATATAAGCATGCATTTATTTTAAATTATTTAGGCCTTTAAGAGTTACATTCTTTTAAAAAAATGAATTGTAGAATTGGGTCAACCAATGTAGTGGTTAGAATGGGAGGGTCAGTTTATGTCCTCCCCAAATATTGGGTGACTTTGGATTATTCTCTTTGCCTTTTCTCTTTTCAACTGGTTTTTGAATTTCTTTTTTTTTCTTACAGTAAAAATGAAACATTGTCTTAATGATACTGGAATTATTGGCATAAACAATCCTAATTTTATAATTCTGGAAGATGGTTCACTGTATACCAAAAATGCTATTTCTTTGACTACACATGAAAGTATCATTACTGTATTTTCAAAAAATATTTATACACATGAGCAAAAGCGGATATATGTTAGCTTGCTAACATACCCCCAAAAGGTATATACAATTTCTTTCATTCTTGAGTCTATCACTAACTATCACACACCTCTTATCATCCATCTTGTATTCATTTTACTTGATTTGAGAGTAATAAGAAAATAAGCTTAATAAAGTGAAAATGGGACATTTAAGCATGTTGAAAAGAGATATGTGCTCAAGAATGAATAGGAGATGAATACACATGGATGTTCAGGAAGAAAAAAGTATGTTCAGTAGGCTTAGTGATACAGAGAGAATGAATAAGGACTGAATTGCATAACAAATACTGTTGAAGGCAAAAGATGTGGTTGGGTGGAGTTAATGACATTCTCAAAAATGGAGAGGTAAGAAGTTTAAAAAACAAGTGGCAATACTGAAACAGATTATAATCATAAAGAAAGCAACATGGTTCACAAGGATAAAGAAGTGTATAAATTAAATTATTACATTATGAAAGAAAAAGCCATAGATCAAAACTAATAAAAAACAAAGTATCCAATATAAAACCCTTTTATATAACAGAAAGTAATCATAACTGGATTATTTTTATTCTTATTTATTTATTAAATTTATTTGCCACCCATCTCATATCAAAATGATTTGGGTTATTTAGTTTTAAAATACTAAAATCCTAACAGATAAATAATTATAAAACAATAAAAATAGAAATCCCAATAAAAATATAGTTAAATGACGGGAAGGAAGGGAACAGGATGTATGTGGAGGAGATGGGATTGCCTCTTAATGCATCAATCATCCCCAGTGCTATGCTTCCCTGTTGAGGCCTTAAGCCACCTGGCAGAGCTAGGTCTTTAGGCTCTTATAGAAGGTTGGAAGGGTGGGAGCTAATCTTGCTTCAGGGGGTGAGATGTTCCAAAGGTCAGGAGTCATGAGAGAGAAGGCACTTTTCCTGGATCCTGCCAGTCGGAATTCCTTGATTGAAGGGGCCCATAGTGTCTCCTCTGCCAGCAAAGGTGGGGCCGACCATTCCAGATGGGGTGACACAGTTCTTCAAGTAACCTGGACCCATGCCATTCAGATTCAATGACATTTAGAAATAATGGCTGCAGCCCAAAATTTTATCTAGAAAATTCAGAATATACAGTAAGAAATGCACAGAAGCAGTTCAGGTTTATGGTTAATGGGGAGATTAGCTCTGATCTCCAAGATATATGAGCAATTGATTCAGTTTAAATATTTATCCATATATTATTATTTCATTTCCCATTAATACCCTCAAAACAAGATAATTTAGCCATGCCAGTATAATGGCCTTCTATACGAGGCACAATATTGTGCTGAAGGTGCATCTAGTCCTGTGTTAGGCCTGGAAGTCAGCAGGGTGACACTGGGCCAGTCACCGTCTTTCAGCCCAACTCATCACACAGGATTGTTGTGGGGAAAAATAGGAGGAGGAAGGAATATTAGGTATGTTCATTGCAGATAATTAAGCTCATATTAAGTAAATTAGATTTGAGCTTTCCTTTTCTTTTTTCTTATCTAATTTTTGATTGCTTACTTTTCGCAGTTATTTGCTGTGCTTTACAAAATGTTGCTTGCTCCTCAAGATATCAAGAATATGTATTTGTTTTATTTTCATGTTTGTATTGCATCTTTTAGCATTACTATTTTATTATATATTGTTCATATGATGGTATGAAACTCAGAATATGAAAATGTACTGTTAGCATTTTTATTAATTTATGGATAAATATTCATATGAAATTAAAAAATGGATTATCAAACAAACTTGATCAGCGGCATTAGTACTTTAATAATTGATATAATCAAAATGGAAAAACAATTTAATTGCATAATCTGGTATGTAAAGTATTGAAATTATTTTAAAAAGCAAAATAATTATATTTTTACCACACTACAATTATGTTGGGAATTAATATTACCTGTTACAATGTTTGGAATAACAGAGATCTAAGTGTGTAGCTCCCCCCCCCCCCAAAAAAAAAACCTGCCACAGAGAGGAAGGAGTCAAGATATTTTCTAAAGCACCTGTAGGCCAGACAAGAAATAAAGGATGGAAACTGAACAAGGAGAGATTTAACCTGGAAATAAGGAGAAACTTTCTGACAATGAGAACAATCAACCAATGGAACAGCTTGCCTTTGGAAGTTGTGGGAGCGTCATCACTTGAGACTTTCAAGAAGTGATTGGACTGCCATTTGTCAGAAATGGTATAGGGTCTCCCGCTTGGGTGGGGTTTGGACTAGATGACCTACAAGGTCCCTTCCAACTCTGATTATCTGTTAAAAGATCTGTTAAAACAAAAGCATGATTGCTATAGATACGTGTTTAGGTTTCTCTCTTTTCTCTCTTCTAGGACTCAAAAACTAGGAGAAGGCATGTCCGAGCAACTGTTGTGGGACGAACAAAACGAAGATGGGCTCCAGTGCCAACTATTATAATGGAAAACTCACTAGGGCCTTTTCCTATGCAAATTCAACAGGCATGTTTTTAATGTAGTCTTCACTTGGCATTTCAAATGATCTCTGCATCTAAATTACACCCGCCAATGAATGAAATGTAGTCATAGAAGTAGACTTCTTCTCAGAATGTAAATTGTTCTCCTAATTTTCCCGTAGTGTCTTGTTACCAACCTTTAAATGGTTTTCTAAAGCAGGGGTCTCCAACCTTGGTAATTTTAAACCTGGAGGACTTCAACTCCCAGAATTCCCTAGACAGCTTTGGGAGTTGAAGTCCGCCAGGCTTAAAATTGCCAGGATTGGAGACCCCTGTTCTAAAGCACTGGGAGACTCTTGTTTGAGAAGGAATAAAGTGTCGCTGCAAAATCCTTTGCAGTACTGAAGCAAGGCAAAGTACCTCCATGAGGCAAAGTGCCTCACCGAGGCATATCACTTGCAAAACTGAAGGTACATAATATATTCATTGTTGTGAGGATAATATTTTCTTTGTTGTGATCTGAAGAGATCTATACAGTACTTACAATAAAGCATATATATGAAATGTATTCTACTTAATTTCAGAAATGAAATTAAATTGCTGCTAAGTCCGTCTAGAAATAACATGCATACAGTAACATCTGATGGAATTCCATATAAGGGTCTACCAATTATAATTGCCCATTAAATTTTTAAAGGACTTTGTCTTTAGAATTGATTGACAGGCCATAATGGCCTCTCCATTGCTAAAAAAAAAAATGAAATTATGTTAGTCTAGATGCATTCTGAAACAATTTAGTTGAGATAGCCTACTTGCATTATAGACTTTTCATGGGATATAAGTTTGATCTAGAACAATTAATATGCCATGCCATATGCTAACCCAGTTAGCAGGTTACAACCATTACATACCTCATATGGTGCCTATTGTGCACTGAAGTGTACTGTGATCTTAATGATCTGTATAAAGAAGTCCTTTGCAATAATCCTTGGCTGTTCCAATGCACAAAAGATTCTTAATGAATTGTCAATGATTTCAGTTCAGTTGAAGTGAATTATTGTATGTAGGCAAGAAGTAAAGAATTACATTTGTCAATTTAATTTCATGTCTTTATTTTCAGCTGTCTTCTGACATGGCACTAAAGTACAATATTAGATATTTCATTACTGGCCCTGGTGTTGACAAACCACCACTGAATTACTTTTACATTGAACAAGAAACTGGAAATCTCTTTGTTACTTGCCCAATAGATCGGGAAGAATACCCAGAATTTCAGGTATGTGATTCTGTACAAAGACATATACATATATACATACTACAAAAATAATGTTATGAGTCTGTATGCACTGCATAGATTTCAGAAGGACAGACCTATGACTTTGATCTGCCAATATTCTTTGAATTTATATTTAAGAATCAGATCCATAATAGACAGCTATTTTGAAATTAATTAAATTGTGTTAGTGTAATTACTCCCTATTTATTTAATAATATTTACATCCTGTTACATTAAAAATTATTACTTGGGGCAATTTTTGGAGGATTCTTGTGGTTATACTTAAGAAGCGTATTTATACAATGAAAACAATTTGATTGTAGGAAACTTTTGTATCTGAGGTATGGGATAAACACATCAACTTGTTAGTCAATCACAAAGTTTCCTGGGCACACAACCTTCTTCCCAGGTTTTCTTCAAAACAAACCTCCATTTTTTTTCCCTATAATCCAATCACATCAGGGAAAATAGACAGTATACCTAATAGACCTAGATATAAAGAACATGTCCATGAGAGGCTGTCCAGGTCTGCCAATAATCTTATAGATATAATAATGGGTTGTAGAATAATGCAAACCTTATAGTGCTTTTTCGGTTCCTATTTGAACTTTCATTTTTCTTATCTCACCCTTTATCATTTTCCCTGGGTTTATATTGCTTTAGCCAGTGTCTTATAAGTATTCTTCCATCAAGTCTTTGTGCTTACACAAAGACATCCTTTCTATGTCCTTTGTATTTTTCTACTTTCCTTGGTTATTTAATGGGTCCCTTTTCCTATTATTATTTTTCTGTCTTTTTTATGTTTGGTCAATTAAAGGCAGAGAACATTTATAATAACAACCACAACAACAACAACAACAACAACAACAATAATAATAATAATAATACCATGTTTCTCCAACAATATGTCCCCCCCCATAGGAAGACCCAGCGTGTTTTCTAGGCATAAAATGAAATTAAGCTGCTCCCCCCAAATTTAGGCCTAGTTTAAAACATACACAATTGGGGGGGAAGGCGGGGGGGACCTTGACATTAGGAGTGCCCCGTGGGCAGCTGCGCCTCGCCATCAGCTGCTCCTAACAGCCAATCATGGTGGAGCATGGAGGGCTCCCTTACCCCTCCCTTACCCGGGTCAGCAGGGAGGCGGCATTGGTGTGGATGTCTGGCAGCGTTTCAGCCGCTTCTCAGGCCTCCGTAGCCTCCACGGTTCCCACCAGTGCTGGCGCCTCTCTTGCCAGTGCCATCTCCAACAACAGCATCTGAGTCGCTCCCACGTTTCCCCTGTCCCCATAAGAACAGGGAAAAAAAACATTTTGAGATACCTGAGAGCACCATGCAGTGCATTTTGGTTTAATCCCGAGCAGCTGGGTGGGCGTGAGAAGAGCCAAGCGAGCATCTCTGCTGCTGCTACCCTTGGTGCTCCAGCCTCGGGCTCTGCAAGTTTGCAAAAGTCTCGGTGCGCAGCCCGTTCCTGCATTCCAAGCACACAGGCCAAGCTGCAGCTGTCCATCTCTCGCCAGCGCCATCTCCAACAACAGCGGCAGCAGCAGCGGGAACCATGGAAGTTATGGAGGTGGCTCCCCCACCCGAGAAACGGCTGAAATGCTTCTACAGTTCCTGTTGCTGCTGCCGCTGTTGTTGGAGACAGTGCTGGCGAGAGAGGAACAGCTGCAGCTTGGCCTGGGTGCTTGGAATGCAGGAATGGGCTGCGCACCGAGACTTTTGCAAACTTGCAGAGCCCGAGGCTGAAGCACCAAGGGTAGCAGCAGCAGAGACGTTTGCTTGGCTCTTCTCACACCCACCCAGTCACTCAGGATTAAACCAAATAGCAGCGCACGGCAGTCCCAGGTACCTCAAAATCTTTTTTTCCTGTTGTTACGGGGACAGGGAAAAAGTAGGAACGACTCAGATGCTGTTGTTGAAGATGGTGCCGGTTTTTCGGGGCTCAAAAAACAATAAGGTCCGGCCTTATTTTGTGAGAAACAAGGTAATAATAATAAATAACCACTACTCCCTATCCCGTTGACAACACACATTCATACCAGCCATTTAATGGGCTCCATCTCACTCTGGGTTCCCCAGGTCTGCTGACAAAACCACATCTTCAGGGCCTTCAAGAGTGTCAGAAAGGGGGGGTTAGACTAATTTCTGGAGGAATGATTTCCAGAGGGAGGAGCAACCAAAGAGGGAGCCACCCTTCTTCTGGTTCCCGGCAGATATATCTCATTAGGGACTGGACCCACAACATTCCTTGCCTCCTCACTCTAGGGGAAATAGCTAATATTTTCTGCTGATTCTTTCTTCTACCAATGTTCTTATATCTCTTTTTATGTCTATGGTTTCTTATGTCATTTTAGGTTAAAATAGCTTACTTTGCCTTATGCCCTTCATCTACTTAATCTGTAGCTCATCTTTATGTCTGATACTTGTATGCTCTTTACATATTTTTTGAACATCTCTAGAACTTAGCACTACACCTTGCTATAAGAAAGGAGTTTACTAATGCAGGAGCATTCACCCTGCACCTATACAAATATAATAGTTATTGATCAAAGCAAATTCTCTACAGCAAATGGATTAAATAATTGTGCCCTGATTTATCATAAATTTTTCATTGTCTACAGAAGAATAAATGTTTCTTTTATTGCATTTTCTGCAGCTCATTTGCTATGCAATGACACCGGATGGATATACCCCAGAAATCCCACTTATTCATATAATCAAAATAGAGGATGATAATGATAATACTCCAGAATTTGAGTACAATATTTATACTTTTCATGTACCTGAAAACAGTATAATTGGTAATTGAACTTTTCAATAAATCTCAGATCACAGATTTGGAATACAGGTAGCCCTCATTTAGCAAGTACAATTGGGGCCAGCAGCTTGGTTATTAAACAAAGCAGTCACCCAGAGAAATTGTGACTATGCTTTTGATCTTACTTCAGCTTTCATTTGCTTTAGAGACCTACACAGATTGTAAATGGGAGGTTCTGTTGCAAATTTACTTTTTTTTCACCATCATAAGGTCCAGTGGTGGGATTCAAATTTTTTTGCTACCAGTTCTGTGGGTATGGCTTGATGGGTGTGGGTGTGGCTTGTGGGTGTGGCTTGGTGTGTGTGGCAAGGGAAAGATACTGTAAAATCCCATTTCCTCCCCACCCCACTAACCTGCTTTCCAGTCAGTTCTCCTGTGCAGGGCAACAAAAGAAAACCCAGTTGATCAGCTGGGATTCAAGAGGCAGAGAAAAGGTGGGGGCTGGGCCAGTCAGAAGTGGTATTTGCAGTTCTCCCAACTACTCAAAATTTCTACCACCAGTTTTCCAGAACTGGTCAGAACCTGCTGAATACCACCTCTGATAAGGTCACTGTGCAAGGCCATCACTAAACGAGGACTACCTGTATCTGTTTTAATATGTTTTGTGTGAAATTATCACACCAGTTATTTAAGTGCAAATATAGACTTTATTATTGAGGAATGCAAAATTTATTAATAATAAAATATAATGGTAGCAGTAGAAGGGTATGTTTAATAACATGTCAAATACTTTTTGTGTGGAAGTGCCTTGCCTGCTTCCTAGGGCTGAGATAGTATGACTGGCCCATGGGCACTTTATGCCCAAGGTGGGACTAAAACTCAGTGTCTCCTGGCTTCTAGCCTGCTGCCTTAACCACCAGACTAGCTAGAGTGTTATTAGATGGAGAAATTGATATAATTAACTTTGATATTTGAATAATGTGGGCATAGCTTTTCTTCTAAAGGAGGAAGACCTGAGTATTATGAAAACCTAAAATTGATGCCTTCTATATACAGGAACAGTAGTTGGACAAGTGACTGCAGCAGACAAAGATGAGCCCAATACACTGCATAGTAAAGTGAAATACAGAATTATATCCCAGAATCATCAGAAACTTCATGAATTTATTATAGATCCGGATTCAGGCTGTATTACGGTAGCATTACATCTGGACAGAGAGGTAATTTTCAATTTAGTGTTACACCAAAACACTAAGTGAAACAGCATAAGTAAAACTAACAAAGGACAAAATAGATTGGTCTTAGATAGAGTAGCTGCAATATAGCTGAAGTGAAAAGTCCTTTTGGTAGTTAGGAATTATATAGCTATTGTGAAGCCAAATTCAGATAATTTAGTGGGTAACTTTGGAACAATGTCTCAGTCTGTCTTACCTATTTCATAATATATGAAGAGGGATAGTGAAGGGAAAGAAGCAAATATATTGCCTTGAGTATCTAAGCATTAAACAGTGCCAGATTATTATTTTTTTGCAGAGTAATCTTTGGATGAAATGGCAATATTGAATAAATTCTTAACTAAGTGAATAATCCCATGGCCTTGCTTTAAAAAAATAAAGTATTTTCAATCCGCCCAGGAAAATTATGCCTATATTTTTTCTAATGTTCTTCAGATTGTGTCAGCATACACACTACACATAGAAGCAAGAGATATGGGAGGCGAAGAGTTTGGTTTGTACTCTACAGCAGCAGTACATATTGAAATTGGAGATGTAAATGATAACCTTCCTCAAGTAACACAAAGTATGGTAAGTCTATCATAGTAAAACCTATTGATGATGTTACTTTTTTATGATATTTTTAGGGGAGGGTTAAAGTGGAAGGATTAGAGTTTGAGATAGTCAGAAAACATTTATTACTTGGACAGAATTTTCAGGGTGAGTTGAATCCTTTCTCATACTACTGAAGCAAGTTGATGCCTAAAAATTGTTGATGTCTAACAATTAGTTATTACCTTTGGGAAATACTTAAGGATGGATAATCTGCCAAATGATTGGAGAACAAATTCTATCTTTCCTTTTTTATTAAAAAGTGGCAAAGGATCTGAGCAATTGGCTAACAAGCCAGGTAAAACTAGACAGGATCACATGATTATTAGATGAATCTTATCTGGCATTAGAACTATTCATAGCTCATATTTGAAAATTGTTTTTTTCAGTATGTAGTGGAGATATATGAAAATATAGAACATGCAGAAATATTATGTATTCCTGTTGAAGATAAAGATGAACCCAGAACATCATCATGGATGGGTGTATTTGCTATTACTAAAGGAAATGAAGATAATAGTTTTGCTCTTAGAGTTGACCAACAGCAGAATATTGGGTGTTTAAGCACTTTAAAGGTAACTATGGATAGTAAAAAGTGTTACTGCAATGATATGAATTGAATTTTACTTAATTTTAAGGTGTGAATTACTTGTTGAAATATATTTTTCACAACTTTCTAAAGATGTATTTTACATTTTTTAAATGTAATACTATTTCCCATTAAAACATGTTGGGAAAGAGAAGAAAGAGAAAACTCAAATGAAATTTGATAATAGTAATAGACCCTGTATTTTCATCAGTAAGTTGAAATAGAAGTAAAATGTCTTAGTAGTAGTATATTGATTTGAGTAGCATTTACTTCCTCCAGGAACTGGATTATGAGAAAAGCCATGAGAGAAGATTAGAAATTGTCGTAAACAATGAAGCACCTTATGTTTCACCTCCCAATTCAAGAGCTCTTCCAACAACTATGGTGAGCATTGTGGTCAAAATTAAGGATCAAGATGAAGGACCTGTATTTGAATCTTGTGAATACATTCTATACATAAATGAACGCATGTTGGTTGGCACAGTGGTTGGTAATTACCAAGCAATGGATCCAGAAACTGGAAACAAACCCTTAAGGTACAAAATTATTATATTGTTTGGTTTATTTATATATTGTGTGTAACATAAAGCAATTATAATTAACTTATTGTTGGAATAAATTTGAGGTACATAATCTTGTTAAAATATTTATTCTTAACAGTTACAGAATAATAAAGGACCAATGTGGTTGGATCACCATTGATGAAATAGGAAACCTCAAAGCAACTGACATTTTAGAAAGAGATTCAAAAAACATAGAATACAGTCAATGCAATGTAACGGTATCTGCAATTGATCAAAGTGAGTATCAAATATTGCGAAATGTTAGTACTTTTGCTACATGCATAATGCTACCCGATGTGGCTTACAAAAAAATGATCAGATGCTGATGGCTATATTAAAATATTTTTTATTGTAATCTTATGATCCCTCACATTTTTGCAACCATGATCTAAGGCCCTAAGTAGACATGTCTAATATTTGAAATACATTAACTGTATATCTCTTTTTAGACCAATCTCCTTTGGATTGTTTTACAATATTTACTTGGGATGATTGACATTTTTCTTCAAAATCCATCTTTTTAGGTGTAGAGCCTGAATTATATTGCCCTTTAGTGGAATAGAATCAGCAGAATAGATCCTTGTCCACCCTACCCTGTAGTCTCTGCAGGACCTCGTCTACCAAGTAGAAAACCATGAGCTGATTGTTATTTAACTTACTTTTGCATTTATTAGATACTTATTGCACTTTTCTTCTGAGAATTTGGGCAACACATATATTTGGCAGTAATTAATTCTGTTAACAATGCATAATTCTATAGTTTAACAAACTACATTACAATTCTGTGGATGTGTGCTGTAGCTCTCAAAAAAGCCAATACAGTCCTAGACTGAATCAACAAAGGAATAGTATCAAGATCACATGAAGTATTACTACTGCTTTGGTAAGACCAGACTTAGAATACAGCATCCAGTTTTGGTCACTGTAATACAGAAAAGAAGTTGAGACTCCAGAAAGAGTGCAAAGAAGAGTATCAAAGATGGTAAGGAGGCAGGAACTAGGTATGTCTAGTCTAATAAAGAGAAGGACTAGGGATGACAATGATAGCAGTCTTCCAATATTTGACAAGCTGTTATAAAGAAGAGGGGAAAACCTTCTTCTCCAAAGCACCTGAAGGCAAGGCAAGAAGTAACATAAATATATCAAAGTGAGCTCCAACCTAGAGCTAAGGAGAAATTTCCTGACAAGAACAATTGGTGTAATAGCTTGCCTCCAGAAGTTATGGATGCTCCCACAACTTCCAAAATCACTTTTTTGAAGAAGAGATTGGACGGTCATTTTTTCTGGAATGCTATGGGGTCTCTTGCTTGAGCAGGGGGTTGGATTAGAACTGGGGACCCCTCCAACTCCATTATTCTGTTACAATGGCTTTCTTCCTATGGATTATGAATTAGGATAGTTTGTTAAACCAATGTTTTATTTAGCTTTCACAGAAAAATACTTTTGTAATGTTATATGGTTTGATCAAGTTACTCTCATTACTGTATTAAAACTAAGCATTCTGATTTCCCTAGGTGGTAAAACAGGAAATGGGGTAATTGTGATAAAACTTGCTATTGAGAACAATTACCCAGTGAGTACCAGTAAACACTATGTCATGTGTAAAGATAAAAAACCAATCTGTATAAACGCCAGTGACATTGATTTGCCGATGTCCACTATGCCTTTTCATTTTGAAATAGAGAAACCAATGGACTTAAAATGGAAGTTAACTCCAAATGATGGTATGTTTTGGTTTTTAATATCTACAAAATACATTGTGACTAATATGGTGTGACTATCATATGAAGTGTAATTTGTGGTTTTGAATTATTTCTTTCATAGATGCATCAGCACTGCTTTCTCTAGTTGAAGATATAGACTATGGGTACCATTATATTCTTCTCAGAATATGTAATGGAGAAAGCATCAGAAAAAGTGAAATATTAGTTCATTATTGTGACTGCGCAATTCCAAGTAACTGCTCCAAATCCACCACAAACATATCAGTGGGTTATTCTCCTTCAGACATTCAAGTAGAGCGCACTCCAGCTGCATCAAGTCTTTTAGGAGCCTGGAGCATTCCTGCAATGGTCATGGGTTCATTAGCAATGCTATGTAAGTATGTGTATGTCTTGAAGAAGCAACATGAACTGTGAAGGGTGACATTACATTCAGTCCTTGCCTAGCAAACACCTCAACTATCTTTAGGTTATAAAAAAACCATTTTCCAACTAATGCATATATTTCTGACAAAATTTTGTGTGCTTAATCATGCAAGCCAGAGAGAAAGTGACATGTAGCTATATGAAGACTTTATTTAAATGAGATGGCAGCAAGCAAGTTCTTTGCTGTGTTGCTTTCAGTCACATGTTCATTTATTAACACGTTTTGCTAACAACTTGATTGGACCAGAATTTGGTTGCTAAATGAGGAGTGGGTATAGGAAATCCTATATCCTAATGGAGGGGATAGGAAATAGCTCCTTATTTCCTACCTATGACTAGCTATATAGCCTATATAGCAATTGTTTCCAAATAAATTCTTTCTTTAAAGCTTTTTTTGTCTTATCCATGCCTCCTCTCTTTTATAAAATTAAACCCAACTTAATTTCATTAATTAATAAATTGTAATTTCATATATTTATTTAAATCACATAAATAAACTGTCTTGTTTTCTGTATTTTTTTTTCTTGCAGCAGGCTTTGGTGCACCTTTTGGACTTTGGCTCTACAGAAAACATCGCACACCTCAGGAAGAACCTGATTTAACATTTGAGAATTTAACAAGATCAAACACTGAGGCACCAGGTGAAGGAAACACAAGACCAAACACTGAGGCACCAGGTGAAGGAAACGTAAGATCAAACATTGAGGCATCAAGAAATACAGTAAGCAACACCTTGCCTTGTATAGTAGCAAATGTAACAGGTTTATTTGGATAGATTATGAGAAAGAGCAAAATATACTGTCTCATTGTTTTAGAAAGCAAAATACACTGCATTTATATCAGTAAATTGGGGGATTGTGATGTGCTCATATGTTTAAAGCTAAACACTATGGCATTTTTTGTACATGGGAACGTATTATCTACCATCATTCTTTTCTATTTAAATGTTTAGAAGTATAAATTTTCCATTAAAAAAACCCTGCTCTGGCTGAATCCAGAAAAGATAAATATTCTGAATATTTTGATATTCTGACATAAGAGAATATTTATGACTCAGGAATGAACTGTGAGGTGTTTGGTGCTCTCTGAACTTGATGATTGCTTGCAGAAATTTCATTATCAACTAGATAAAACATACATCAATATAGTGATTATGTTACCTAGTTTATTTAAGTTTATACCCAGTACAACCCAGCCAGTGGGGTTAACCATATAGTGGTCCTCTTAACTTATTATTTTGATCTTACGAAACTTCAAGATATAGGGTTTTTGGTGCTCTCTGAGCTTGGTGGTTTTCTTGCAGACATAAAATGGCTGCAAGAAATCCACCAATTTCAGAGTACAAAAAACCCTACATATTGAAGTTTCATACGATCAGAATAATAAGTTAACTGGAACATTATATGGCTGACCACACTGGCTGGGATGTACTGGCTATAAAGTTACATCATGAATCCTGAGTGTAGGCAATGGGAAACATTGTGAAGAAATGGATGACAGAGGACAAGTGGATTATTATTCAGCCAGTAAGCACTCTGGAATATACAATTAGATCTGGGTACAGACTGTTCGGGATTTTTTTTTCTAAAATGTTTTTTTCTTCAGAAATTCTATTGTTATTCTTCATATTCCAGAATTTAAACATCATTCCCGTGTCAACAATGAATGAATTCATAAATACGAATACAGACGTAGTAAAAACTGGAAAGAAAGATTTGGAAACAGGAAAAAGAGGATGGCATTCCACATCAGAATTAATCAAGGGAGGAAAAGTGAATCATGTGGCACTATCTTTACAAAACTGTGCGCCTTCTTTAAGGAATTCATTCAGAGATTTCTGTACAGAATGGCAGAGGTTCACTAACCCTCGCTTATCTGAAGTAAGTGTTCTGACACAAATTTCTAACAGTGTATAATTTTCTAGTTTTGAGTATTACAGAGCTGGAAATAACATATTGGTCTTATCCCATTAAGGTACTGCTTTGTATCGCAGTTCTTAAAAATAATCCAAAATGGGTGGCAAGGTACTTTACAAATAACAACAATATTATACCATTGATATAAAAACAGTATATCAACTATCTAAAATATGAGCAGCTAATCAAGCAAGAGGTAGGAAGCATGATGAAAATCAGCACAATTTTCCAGATTTTGCCGCAATCTTAACCCATATTTTCCCATTCTGGTAACACACACATTTACATCAATTCTCACAGCTATAGGGCATATGAGACTTAAAGGTAATACATCTAGAATATACTATATGGGGGGAAAAGCTGTTAACATGCTTCCAATATTTATCTTGAAAAACTTAATGCTGGAATTTAAGACCAGCACCTTAAGATGTAATTACAATGATAGCTGTATTCTTTCAAATAAAACAGCACGTTCTTCCAAAAAAGATATTTTTATGAAATATAGTATGTATGATATATAGGACAAAGAGGTAACACAATTGGAAGATAACTTATTTTTGCATCATACATATATTTTAAAAAATGATTATACTTTTATTGTTTTTTGCCCAGATGGTATTTCTTTGTGGACAAGAGGAAGAATATAACCTGGCTAAAGAGTATTTACACACATATAATTACGAAGGCAAAGACTCACCAACTGGTACTCTAAGTTTCTGTACAGGAGAGTCAGAAGAAGAGAAACTGAGTTTTTTAAACCAGCCAGAGCCTCCATTCCGGACATTAGTTGAAGTTTTTGTACAGAAGGATTGCCTTTAAACTATTCCTGAAAATCAGCTGACTTCAACTAGGAAATTCCCCTTTGCAGATTCCATTGAAATGAATGAACGGTCTTAAGAAGTTCTAATGAACTGTAATAGAATTTTAAAAGAATTTCTTCCCCACAGTTGTGTCTATCAATTCATTCTTTATGGGATATTTTGGGATTTTAAAGAATTATTTTAAACAGACTACAATGGAAAAATGATTTAAAATATTAAGGATTTGAAGTCTCCTATAGATACTGATTTATGTGAATAATTCAATTACAAATTTAAATGTTTATTTTTACATCCTTAAATAACCATTTTGTTCATTATAATTTAAAATACAAGTGTTTCCATACCCAATCCACTATTCCCTTTTGAGATAAAAGGTGATATGCAAAGTGTAGAAAAAAATGTACTTCAGGATTTGGAAAAGTCAAATCTTCATCCTTAATTTATACTTACAGCATTTTCAAAGATATCTTCAGAATTGAAGAACCTCATAGAAATTTATGGAACAATATACTGGGTTTTCAAAAATGTCTTCTATATATGCATGTACTGTGTATGTGTGTGTGTGTGTGTATTTCATGCAAAATATGATATATGTATTACTTTGATAAACCTCTTTAAGATTGTACTCATATTTAATGTGCTTTGAGAAATATCACTATGCTATAAGAATAATATATTCAATAAATATAGAAAATGTATATTTTTTATTATATTGAAAAACAAATCTTTGGCTATTGGCATAAATTTTGACCTAATGCAGTTGTCATAAAATTCAGCATCTCATCTATCTGAAATACATCAAGGTCAGAGCTGAAGTTTGATATTCAGAAATTAAGCAATGCAATGTCATCAACATACAGGAAGTCCTTGATTTATGACCAGTTGTTTAACAACCATTTGAAATTACAATAGGCCTGGCTTGCTTTTATGAAAATCCCATGGACAGTGCGATTTGCATTATTTTTCCTGGCATTTTTGGTTAACTTTCAGCAAAAAAAAACGCCAATTCAGAAGTTGTTGATTTGCTTAACAACTGTAGTGATTCACTTAATGACTGCCACAAAAAATGTCACAAAATCAGGACCGGTTATGTGGATCCTCATCTTAAGATGGTTCCAACTGTGGTCATGTTGAGGAATACCTGTATATTAACTTATATTTTAATTAATTTTGAGACAAGCCATTTGCTTTATTATTTTGTCTGATAGCAAATACTGGCTATAAAAGTACAATTAGTCAAAAGAGAAACTGAGCATTTTTGTCCAGTATCTTTATGTTGAAGAAGATGAAAAAAAAAATCTCCAATTTAGATTTAGCCACTTGATCTCATATTTGAGCCATTTAATAAATCCTATAAATTTTTGTATTTGGCCCATTTAATAAATTCTATAGACATTCAAATTTAGTTAATATATTGCTTAACCTGCTGTCTTTCCATAAGATTTTTGGGGGATGTTTTGCTTTTCATAAAATGTTTGCATGAATATATGCATTTCCATCCAGTTTTTATAGATTTTCCTGCAATGAAATGAAAATGATCAAAGGCTGCCAAACTATTATTAGATGTATTAATATATCAACACTGATAAGCTGATGGTTACTTCAATGACATATTAGACTTAATTATATACAAAATTATATATTTTTCAATTTGTGCTCATTAAAGTTGACTCTTTAAAAGGTTAAAAAGTTGTAAGCTCCTTTCAGGAATAATGGCAGAAATCAGCATGCACAAAATCCACACTTATAATACTTATATAAACACTAGTGCTACTATATCTTTACTATTTTAGAACCTGTCAGTCTAGTGGTATACCACATATTTTATAGTATATTATCACTTTCTTCCAAACTCCTACATATGATTTTTATCCATTCAATGAAGCTGATGATTATGCTGAAGTATACTGATTATACTATCTATCCTTAGTATGTTTGAACTTAACTGTAGTGATCATTAAGCTAAATATTGATATTGAATATATTTATTGCTAGATAAATTAAGCATTTTATTTAACACACAGCTTCATGTAAGCATAGCATGAAGGAAGAAAAATGAAGATTACTTGTAGATTTCAGATATCTACTTTCAGTTCACATATAAACATGCATAAATACAATACAGTATGAATACATGGATGCAGAAAACGAAACGGAAATAGTGGGCTAAAAAGCCATAACAGGTAATAAGAAGGTATATTGAGTCCAATGCCTTATGTTTATATAGCGATAGTAGTAACACTTAGATCTATATACTGCTTCACAATGCTTTAGAGCTCTCTCTAAGCAGTTTACAGAACATATTGCCCCCTAGAACATGGGTCCTCATTTTACTGACCTCGGAAGGATGGAAAGCTTAGTCATCCTTGAGCTGGTGAAAAAGTGCAGTCAGCAGCAGTAGTCTGCAGTACTGCATTCTAACCACTGTGCCACTACACCTCTTATGCTATGTATTTGGATTACTCTGAATCAGAATAAAATAGACTTATTTCTATTTCATCAATAGTCATTTTCAAGAATAGCCCGAATACATACTTTGTTAATCACATTTTATTTACTGAAATAGATTACTATTTATTAGTAGAAATATAATTGTAAAATAAAGCACTAATTAAATAATATGCAGAGAATACTTGCTATGATTTTGGTCCTTGATTCAAAGCAATAGAATGAGACGATCCAGTCCAATTGAATATCTGGCTGTGGTACAAGATTTTTAAAATATTTAATTTTGACATAACCTGATTATAAATAAAACTAGAACAGGTTTATCTATTTTTTTTTTCAGCAGAGTGGGATGAGATTTGCAAGCATGCTATACAAGAGATTAATATATCAAATGTTATGGAAGTACCAAACTTTTTAACCTACATGCCTTTAAAAATAATTTTAAGGTGCTTGTAAGTTCATATAGGACAAAATATGACAATTTTTGTAGCTATGATATCTCTTATTGCAGGAAACATGTTAACTAAATTTCAAACAATATGTTGAACATTTTTTTTGGAAAGGGAAAGGTATTTTGTAAACAAAATTGACGTCAACAGTAAATGTTGGATTTTGGGAGGGATTTGGGGAATATAAAGGAATAGTTCACTATTGATTTATTTTATTATAAAATGGTTAATTCATAAAGTCAAATCAGCTATTAAGACAGTTTACCAAATACAGTCTATATGTATTTGTCTATATGAGAGGTAGAGTGAAAATGAGGTGGAATGCATGGCAGTTAAAATACCTTTCTCAGCCCTTCAGTGAAATTCTTTTTATAAGAATGACTGGGCTAAGGAAAGCCTTTCTAACACTGAGTTCATACCCTTCACCTATACTTTTCCATTATTGCTTTTTATATGAATAGCAGAAGGTGGTTTTTTTTTTTTTTTGCAATATTCTACTGTTTATGTTTGAGAGCATTAACAGCAAATGTATACCTTCTTAAGTCCCAAAATCAACATGGCAAAGGTTCGGACAAGTCTCTCCACCCTGAATTCTAACTGTATATTCTAACTATAGTATGGGCCACTTCTAAAATACAGTTCTGGACCAATATTAACAAAAGAAGTCTATACCTTATGGCTTATCGTTCAAAAGTATAAAATAGTTTCCAATAAAATATTTAACTTGTATAGATCTTTTAGAGCAATGGTTTAGTACAAATCTACTAGATCTGCACCTTGATTATTAGGTTTGTCCATTTTTTTCTATTTGATACAAAATGTTTAAAATTAGAACAATGTATCATGTTGTTCAATGCTCCCCAAAATGGACATGTTAAATCTTTATAACTTCAAAATATACTTCTACACTAATAGAATGTAGAGATAGAATTGGAGTATTACCAATTATATTTATCCGACATGGGTAAAATGAGGAGCTAGATGGTTGGGGACAATATGCTGACTGTAAATTGCTTAGAGAAGGCTGTAAAATATGATGAAGTGGTATATATTGCTATTGTTATCTGAAAAATATGCTAGTGAAACTATTTTGCAATTAATATCAACATTCATTCATGGAAATACAAATCCAGTAATGATGTTGGAGTTCCATTTATTTAATATTTATTTAATTACATTTAATGTTGGTTACATGTTGGTGTCATTTAAAGTTGATTAGAAAATGGGACTGAAGGAGTCTTCACAGTAATTAATCTTCGGGGTGTGATAAGGTTGTGATTCATTCAGCCACTAATACTTTTGAAAAGTAAACTATTTAGGATAGTAGAGGCAAGAGCTTGATCTCAAAATAGTCATGAAATTGTGAGACCCATTAAGATGACAAAAATGTATTCAAAAGATTCTAAATTCCACAGCAGTTTATTTAAGTTATTTGTACTTAAAGTTGCCCGTCCTATTTACACACAGTGGACTTTCATTGTACTTTACAGAACCTTTGACAATTAAATGATAATTGTCATTTAATTGTCATTTTGGTGCTATGTCACTTTTTTCCTCTCCTAAACACCTTTCATTCAAAAAAAAAAGGTAGCCAACTTTATTTTAGATTCTCTTCACAACTCTGTGGAAAAGAAAATAGATTCTATGTTCAAATGATGTTCTTGTTCCTTTAAAACTGGCAGTTACACGAGTTTGACCAATCTTGCTCAATGGGGAATTTTCTTCTGTAGCAATTCCCTTGTCTTCCCAAGAGCTAAATTAACATAAAAATATGTTTGCCTTGACACTAATGCAGATGATTAATCAAATGAAAAAGGTATTCTGTGAAGATATTGATTAAAATGTTTTCAGATACTATGTTTTTCCCCAAGCATCACCTCTATATTCTTCAATAAAATATATGTAGCTCACAAACACTTCTATATTGTAATGAACTGCAAAAATAATCTTGGGAAATGAGGATATTTGAACAGCAGCCAAAACAATAATTTGATAAGAGAAATCTTGGGTCCAAAGGAAGAATGGGCAGGAAGAAAGTGTGTCTGAGGGGACCCTGCCTAGTAAGTAAAGGTGGTGTAAGTGCTCATGTTTTTGGTTTCCTGTCTGAAGTAATTTGAAGGGCTGACAATATGTATGTTTAACTTTGCATTTCAAATAGGTCAGTGGTTATCCTGCCACAATTTCAAATGCTAAAATGCTTTTAATAGTTTCTCAGGCACCATTGTGTTAGTCAACACACTGACCCATTGTGTACCTTAAATGGATTTGTTTTGAAGAAGACCTTGTTCCGGGCAGAGATGGT